CAATCAACATATTTCCGTAAAAACACCTTCAACTCTTCAGTATACCCTCTCTTGAATGTGAACATAATTTTCTGTACCTTATTTTTTAAGCAGTAGCCGGATAAATCTTGCCTTTAGATCAAGATCCCTATTGAATAAATTGATTGTTACAATTGAAGAAAACTGGACCAAAACGCATCACTAAACGCAGAAGAAAACGTTTCAGAGTTTTGTTCTTTAGAGAATGCACTGTTTCACGTGCTGTACTGCACATTAGTTTATACGAAGGTAAAGAACACGAGGTTGATGTCTTCTAGTAAACTCTAATGTGTAAAGGTTGGGTATAGATGTCAATTATTTCTTTATAAGGGGGGAAGGTGATCCCCAGTTCCCCTCCCCTGATAAAAAAAAANAACTGGACTCATTTTAAGTTCTTTTCTAAAATGTCTCTAAAGCTAAACACTGTGGCTTTGCAGCTGGCAGTTTGGCTACGTGTTGCCTGTTGTTACGTGCTGTCTCAAATTTATTGGCTTCATCGTTCTTAAATTACACCAAACTTCGAAATTTGCTTCAAGCAGTAAAATGTACATATTCTGATAGAGGTTAATTGGCTTACTAAAGCTACTTATACGGCACATGAAACAAAATATTGACTGGGCAGTTGCTGAAACCGCGTTTTAGGTTCAAGCCTCAGTCTCCGCACCATCGTAAGAGCTAGTTGCCGCTGCTCTACTTGCTTAAAACTGCAAACTAACTTAAATTCATTGTCACCCCACACGATCAAAACTATAAGTTTATGAAGAAAAGATGTTAATGTTGCCAAGCTTCATTTATTAATATTTTTTATTATATAAACTGCAGTGTTTTACAAGGATTTCTACCACCGAGAAATGTGGTATCTGAACACACGTAAAAATACGATATTTTTCCATGTGAAATTATTGATCTTTGATAGTTTGAGAACATTTTAACCATTTATCTTGTCTTTTATATTTTGAACAAGATACCGGACATTTTTAATATTTGTATTTATTTTTTACTGTACTTTGTAGAGCTCCGAGTTTACACTGGAGTATTTTAAACAATTAATTACATTTGTCGGGTTCTCGACTATATGGCATGGTTTTGGTTTATGGAATGGCTGATTCTTGTTTATATAATAAACAGAATAATACATGGACGCTTGGAGATATGGAATTTATTTTCTCGTGTTCACATTCGATATCTCACTCGTCGCTGCGCTCACTCGTTCGATATCGATGTGGACACTAGAAGATAAATTCCATATCTCCGCGCGACCATGTATTATTCTCTATATATTATTTTATGTTTTTCCTTTTTGTATAACCTATCATAGTGAACATGGTACCATTAAAAGAAATTTGTGTTTTCTCATCAGATGCGCGCCGGCTTTTAAGCCACGCACGGGGAAAAAATACACACCGCTCTAGACTGCCCCGTATAACTAAACACGAGCGCACAAAATTATAGAATCACAAGTCGTTTCCTTCTAAAATTTGACCCATTTTTTTCCACGAGTTTTGTCTACAGGGTAGTACTGACAAAAGTGGCTCCTCGTTTTTAATCTTCTGGTTGTTTTTTTTTTTAATTTTTAGTTACACTTTTAAAAGTTTTCGTAAAATTCTTAGTCAAGGTCTGGAATCTTCATATTTTAAAATGCAACTACTTGCGCGGAACAGGACAATTCAACAATACTTTTTTTACCTATTTGCATAATATATATGTAAGAAACTATAAATAAGGAAAGCCTTCCTCACGAGTTTGCCACAATTGGAATGTCAAATTTTCGGGTTTTAAAATATAGTACCTTGATTATATTTGCCAAAATGGCAAAATTTAACGATGTTTTACGTTACTATATTAAAGAACAAAGTCAGTTTTACCTTGAGGTAATAGAAGATAATTGAATAAATAGCGTATACATGTCGTGGGCACAGTACTCTAAAAGATCAAAGACGAAACAGGTTCTTAGATTAAACTTAAAGAGTAAAGATTGCCCATAATTATATAACACAATAACTGTGAAAAAACGCAGTGTACCGTTCAAAATGTCCATAATATCCTCAGCCTTTTTCTTTCATTGCTAAACAAAATAATTTTCCATTTTGCTTTCTTTGCATTTAATGAGGTTCTTGTCAGATCAAGTTTGCAAAGAAATCTATTGTGCTTGACTTCTTATTTGACAGATAGCTGTCATTTATTAAAACAGAAGAAATAATCACTGACTACTAAACCAATAAATTTGCATCTTCCCATTATAATTATTTTGGGAGTCGCTACCTAATGTAAAGTAATAACGCGTTGTGATATATTCCAAGTGTACTCTCTCTAATCTTTTTAATCGAACAAGGAAGCAATCGAATCTGAATAACTTTAAAGAGTGGGATCCAGGGGAGGTAGATTGGGTACCTCGTCATCGGCATTTCTTCTATTTTGTAGCGTTGTAAGAATTCATTCCGTGTTAGGTTTTTCATTCATCTTTAGTCCTCAGTTACAACGTTTAAAATGTTTTCGACTTCGTGGCGAATGTTTTGTTCCGGAAGACACATTGCTTTCAATTTGCCTCTCAGCGGAATATTAGCTGGTAACCGCGCTTTAGTAACTTGATATCATGTTGCACAGTTATTATCTCTGTTTCTAACTCAAAGAGCGTCGCACGCGCGCGAAGAATATAATCTTAAAAAACGTGATCTACAGAAGTAGGCGATAAACAAATGTATGCACAATTAGTATTTTAAAATTCTTTATGCATTAAATAATCATTTTCGATTGAAATAATTTGGGTGTTTGTTGTGATGTCACACTTTTTGAAGCCACATTGCGGGAGACGATATCGTAATGGCGGAAGGATTTGTGTTTCAAAAAAAGTACTTAATCTTGATCTACGATGTTTGTGAAGTTTCCTTACTGAAACCAGTGGTTTAGTGTTAGTCTCCAGGTATCTGTGATTCAAAGTGTTCTTCCACTTTTGAGAATAACTACAGCGCTGATTACTACCTTTATCACCAAACGTAAACTCTTGCAGCACGTCACATGTGAAGCAACCTCATGCCCAGGACTTTTCCCTTGAAAATGGTAGTGGCGAGAAAAGCCCTGGGTACCAGGTTGCTTTAAATGCCGTGGAAGACGTACCCGCTGTGTACCCCCGAGAGTTCGAAGAATTTGATTTTTCTGAGTATTTGTTACTCTATCACATTCACTTTAGCCCGGGTTATTGTCAGTTTGTTCAAATATTATGCGTACTTTTCCTGTAATCATGATCAATTCTCAGCGTCTCCTTACGTAATCGCTATTGTCAACCTCCGTAACTGCGTTAGGCCCATTGTTGTCTTCAGTAACTGTAAAAAAATCCTCTTTCACCCATGAAAATCAGTCGTTGTATTCGCAGTGCCCGCGTTCAGTCTGGTAAGTATGGTTTTCTTGTATTTTTGCGCCGTAATTTTTCGATTTGTTGTACAATTAAGTTTTCTTTTGTCAAATGTTTTTCAATTTGCGTTTATTTGAATTCTGTATTTTCCTTGGTTAAAATATGTTTCTCATCACGGGTGAATCGTAAAGTAATGACCGAATTCGATCTGTACTTGGAGTTTAATAAGAGTAGGCAGCATAAAACTTTCCCCATGTCTTATGGACGGATAACCATTAAGATCATGTTTTTGGGATTCATTTTGCATTGGAAACTTCGAACAGTCCAATTAACAACTCAGTCATTATCTTTTATCGGAAGTGAAGCGCTTTGGTAATTCGACACCTCTTGAAACTTTATTCTATGTATAAATGTGTGTGAAAAGTTTATAAAAGATAGTTTAAGGCCTCTTCTACGCGTATCCACCTGTTTTTAAAAACAGATTTTTTCCGTTTTAGCCTTTCGTCCACAATATTTCCATCGTTTTAGCGTTTTCATCTGTTGTTGTTGTTGTTGTAGTTGTTGTTTGTTTTTTTATGCTTTGAGTATTGTTTAAAATACTCAAGAGACCATGATTGTCTTCATGCTACGGCTTTATAGGCATTATAGTTGAGCGATCGATGATTGTCGATCAACATATTTCCGTTCACAGATTCTTTGACCTTGCTATTCTGTGTGGAGATACCACTGGCCACTATGTTATGTGTAGAGCCGTTGTTGCTGATCCCTTTGTGTTTCGCGAATAAATGAAATCAGAGGTGAGCTGGGTTAATTAAATTTTAAGTGATATCGAGTCGTTCTTCAATAACGTGGTTGGCAGAGGAAGTTAATTTGAATTCATGCAATTTCCAATGCAATTTCATGCAAGCAATGAAATCAACGAACGTAGTTTTTCAAAGTCTTCCATATTAGAAAAAGACAATGCAGTCAAATCACAATAATAGTCGGGCACTGAAGGGGCGAACAAACACTCAAAAGTCGCTCACAGGCCATATATTACTGCATAATTCACTTGATGCCAAAATAGTCTAATTTACCTCTACAAATTATCCTATCCGGAGTATTGTAGCGCTGGGAAGAAACATCGACACATCGGTCAAGTAAAGGTTTTTTACCTTCAAAAACGAAAGGTCTATAACAGCACGCAGTTGATAATGAAGTGACTGCGTTACTGAACAAGATTGCCTTTCTATGCGAATCTGTTGATTGGGCAAGAAACAAGTGTCAGTTGTCCGCATTAATGTCCGTAATAGAGAGGTATCCGTAGCAAATGTCCGTAAAGCGGGTTTCGACTGTAATTCCAAAAACAATAAACGATGCATTTTTCTTTTTCTTCGTTTAGAGCATCCCTAAGCAGGCCCTAAAAACTGGCTTCTGCAAAACTCCCGGAACCCGCGGGTCCAGCGGGTGCTGCGGGATCACCTGGAAATAATGGACCTCATGGACCAAGGGCTCCACGTGGATACAAAGGTGAATCACCCTTCTTTCCAGCTTGACCAGATGGGCCTTGTGGTCCCTTTGGGCCAGGGGCACCTTGACTTCCAGGGGGACCTGCATCACCCTTGCTTCCGAGTGGGCCTGCTGGACCAGTTGACCCTGTACCTCCCCTGGGGCCTGGAAGTCCCTGTTTTCCACGGGGTCCTTCATCGCCTTTGACTCCTCGTGGACCCATAGGTCCTTCGGGTCCGTTATTCCCTGGTGATCCTGTTGAACCAACTGGTCCCGCGGGTCCCGGGCTTCCTGGGATGCCCGGTATCCCCGGTGCGCAGGGTGAACACGGAGAGTAACCACAAGAGCCATGTTGGGAATTCTGTTGAGGAAATTAAGGGAAGAAATAAAAAAAAGATCAATGCATTATTCATTCTCTTTAATTTGGAGTTAATGCACTTCTTGGGGATGTTTGTTTCTTAAATGGCCTTTGAAGAATAAGTAATTAAATAATTGACAATAAATGTTAATTAATAATAATAACAATAATAGATAAAAGCAGATATAAGCTAAGTACAATAGCACAAGACGCTTGAAGGACTCTTCTTTTCGCCTCTGACACTACATAACTCTCACTGCTAGATTCACTTATTTATATATATGTATATCAACTCCATCGTTCGTTCATTCAGTTGAGCAACAATTCAACTACTAATGATCATTTTATTATTCTTCAACTATTCATTTCCTGTGCATTTAAATTATTTGACTAGGGGACTATCCATTTCGATTATAAATTCTACCATTACTATGTATAATTCAGATAGTTAAAACTGATGCTTAAAACATGACTACGTATCACAAAAAAAAATGTTGAAAACGGCGCCGGATGTTACGACAATCATTCTGACTCATACTTTCATTGATTCCATTTCATTTTATTCCATTTTTTCTAGCAAATGAAAAATGCAGTCAACGATCATTAACTTTCTGGATTAATTACTGATATCAAGTCCCGATTATCTGAAATTTAACAAATCAAACTCACCTTGTTGCTGCTGTTTCTACTATTCGCAGAACACAAAGGGATCAGCAGTAACGGTACTATCCATAATATAATGGCCGATGGTATCTTCATACAGAAGAGCATGATCGCAAAATCAAACTGTGGGGTGAATATATTAATTGTTTAGCAATCACCACAAAGAGAACAATATTGTCATTCTTCTCGGAGGAAATGAAGATTTTTACGTGTATTGACGTATTTTGCAAGCTATACTATCCTCGGGGAAAAGTGAAGACTATTAGACAAAGAGTCTTTTATAGATATCGAATTCTTACTCTTTCGAGTTAAAAACAAAAAGAAACAAACAGATAACCGGTTACAGGAATCAATTCTACTTTTTTCAGGTTTGAGAAATATAGAAGAACCAATACAATTATAAACATCTTTTGATCAACCAATTTCAGCTGGTTCATGAAAACAGGACGTAACACTAGCTAAAAATAATAAACTGAAAAGATATACGTCATAACAAAATAGCCCACTGCAAGTAAATTATCTTCAGTTGAAAAACAAACACAACTGAGTGAAGAATCTAACCTGGAAGGAACACTTCAAATTCGAAAATTACATTAAGTGTGTTAAGAACTGAATTTTCAGCTACTCTGCAGTAAGAGTAAATCTAAGGACAACTAAAATACCAACCTTGCTTGTATGGCTGCAGTAGCGGGTCGTTCGCAAAAAATGATGAATGGCTTAATATTTCTGAACCTTTTATGTCGTTTTATAGTCACTTTTAGCATAAAAACATGTTTTTAGCACGTTCAAAGGGTTGTTAAAAATAAAATGTAAAAAAAGTACAATGTCCTTATTGGTTAACTCACACGGAGCTGACCAATCAAAGAGTTCGTTTAATTTGGTAACTTGCAAGTTTGAAACACGTTTAGGGCCAGTGACGTAAAAAACATGAAAAAAGACAAAAATTCTTATTGGCTAAATCATTTCTAGATTGACCAATGGTATAACGCGTTGCAGAACGTCTTTGTTTAGAAGAGCTCAGAATGTTTAGCCAAAATACAAGAAAACATCCCTTGTTAGTTAGGTAACTTCTTAGAAGTCTACTAATCACAGTTTTAGTTGGTATTCAGTTTCCAAATCAAAGAAAATCCTACCTCTTCCCCCACACTGAATTACATACTGAACAGCAGATGNTATACGTCATAACAAAATAGCCCACTGCAAGTAAATTATCTTCAGTTGAAAAACAAACACAACTGAGTGAAGAATCTAACCTGGAAGGAACACTTCAAATTCGAAAATTACATTAAGTGTGTTAAGAACTGAATTTTCAGCTACTCTGCAGTAAGAGTAAATCTAAGGACAACTAAAATACCAACCTTGCTTGTATGGCTGCAGTAGCGGGTCGTTCGCAAAAAATGATGAATGGCTTAATATTTCTGAACCTTTTATGTCGTTTTATAGTCACTTTTAGCATAAAAACATGTTTTTAGCACGTTCAAAGGGTTGTTAAAAATAAAATGTAAAAAAAGGTACAATGTCCTTATTGGTTAACTCACACGGAGCTGAGCAATCAAAGAGTTCGTTTAATTTGGTAACTTGCAAGTTTGAAACACGTTTAGGGCCAGTGACGTAAAAAACATGAAAAAAGACAAAAATTCTTATTGGCTAAATCATTTCTAGATTGACCAATGGTATAACGCGTTGCAGAACGTCTTTGTTTAGAAGAGCTCAGAATGTTTAGCCAAAATACAAGAAAACATCCCTTGTTAGTTAGGTAACTTCTTAGAAGTCTACTAATCACAGTTTTAGTTGGTATTCAGTTTCCAAATCAAAGAAAATCCTACCTCTTCCCCCACACTGAATTACATACTGAACAGCAGATGGCAATCACAATATTAATTGTTACTTAATTGCGACAAACGTGATCGTATTATAGAAAAGTATGCAATCCGCTCATTATAGTTTCCTAACGGATATTTCATTTTCACTTAAACACGACTCGAAATTTGCTTGAAGAGGAGTAAGCAGCTAAAGAAATAAGTTCAGTGAATCTCGGATAACTGATGAGAGAAAAATTTGGAAATGAATCGAAGCCGAAATTTTAAAACAACCGTAATTTTTTTCAGCAGCGACAGGGCTGAGCTATAAAACTTCAAATATTTATTAATAAGTTCTCGATGCAATACGCCATGAGAGGCTGCGATAAATTGATGTCTAGGCTTGGTTCTGGAACAACTTATAAGTTTTAGAACGCACAAAAAAGATCGTCTTGATTTGCACATTTAAAACATTTTTAACCAAAATAAGTGAGGAACGTGACAAGGTTGGATCGAGACAACTTACTATAAAGCCTTTATAAAACTTGTATTGGGCAGGCTTGCCTGAGTAAAATAGACCTGCAGAGGTGAGGACGGAAATGAATACGATGTCAAAGACATTACAAATGAAGAGAAATCGGCAAAAATACAAATGCACAAGCCTACCTGGCTGAATTTTTGCCCTTCAATTTCTTCTCAACTACTTACTGGGAGTTGTAAGGGAAAACAAATTCTCGTACGAACGCGTTGAAGAACAGTATGACTTTATTCCACCGAACGGTACCATTGGCTGTTTGTGGCGACTTGTC